GCCTCCAGTGAGGCTATGCTCTGGTCCAACCTCGTGACAGTTGCCTGAGTGCTAGTCATGAATGAAGCTAGAATATTTTCCAGCTTTGTAATCCGATCATCTGGGGCAGGAGCTGCTGCTGGCTCGGCATACTGACGCTGGGGCTGCTGGAATGGTTGCCCCTGCCGAGGCTGGTAGGGCTGCTGCGGGGCTGGCCCCTGTCTAGCCTGGAAAGGCTGCCTCTGCTGAAAACCATCGGCTGGTGCTGGGAAACCAGGTGGTTTAGTGGTGTTGCTACTCCAGGCGAAATTGGGATGCTGGCGCCACCCCTCATTATATGTGTTTCTGTACGGGTCGAGGCGCCGAGCATTGGCGATGAAGTCCAACTACTCTAGGGGAGTAGTAGACTCCCTTATAGCCAGGCAGTCCTCTACTGAGTGATTTGAGCTCTCACACCACTGACATTGAGCTACTGGAGGTGTAGCCAAACCTCTGCCCGGAATAAGACTGTTGGGCTGCTTCAATGTCTGCACCAACTCAGCTACCTATTGCTCAAGCCCGGATCTGGTCTCCATGGCGTGCACACCACGGTCCCGGGAATGTCTGCCTCTGCTGCTCTGCCCCCAAGAATGATCTCTGGCAGCCAAGGTACTGATCATCTGGTTCAGCTCGGGTGGAGTCTTAGTAAGAACATCCCCTCCTGGGCATAGAGACTCAATCACCCTCTGGCTATCTGGAGAGAGAGCACTGTAGAAGTTCCCCACTGTGAATGCATCACTGAAGCCATGATAGGGACAATGTCAGAAATATCCCATGTACCGCTCCCATGCATCACGAAGTGACTCATCTGGCTCTTGGCGGAAGTGAGTGATCTCCCGCTGGATCTCTGTAGTCTTCGATGCCGGATAGTACCTGTGCACGAATTTGTCAGCCAGATCATCCCAAGAGGTGATGGACAATGGGGGCCAGGTCTCCAACCACCTCTTAGCATTCCCCGCCAGAGAATGGGGGAAAAGGTGAAGGAGGATTGCATCGTCGGGGACACCGTTCAGCTTGAACCCGTTCGTCAGCAGCAGAAAACGGGAAAGATGTACCCTGGCCTCCTCATCCTTCAAACCATGGAACTGGATAGAGGATGTAATGAGCTGAATCCAGTAGGGCTTGATCTCGAAGTTGTTTGCTGGAATAGGCGGGTAGAGGATGACCGGGCGGATGTCAGCAATCCGTGGAGTGTAGTAGTACTCCAATGTGGGACCCGGCGGCGGTGGATGATGATGAACCCCATGATCCTGGGGTATGGGGTTGTTCCCCAGGACCTGATTCACCGGGGGGCCTGCTGAGGATTCCCCTGGTGTGGATTGTAGTCTCTGTCCATCCCGTACTCTTCTTCAGAATCGCTACTCAGGTGGCCGTCTATGCGCTCTTCCGTAGCCAGTCTAGCTCGCTGTTGTCTCCTGAGTTGGCGACAGGTGCGGTCAATCTCTGGATTCAACGGCAGTAAACCTCCCGACTGGCTACGGGTCATGCACTACCTGCACACACTCAAGCAAGCAAACCCGTGAAGGCACAAGTGGGACAAAGCAAACAAAGCAAAAAGAAAAGCTAAATTAACAGAAATCACTTTTCTTCAACAACCTAGCCGTCCCCGGCAACGGCGCCAAAAACTTGACTCACTTCCACTGTCACTCTAGGAATTGGCCAAGTGAAACCACTTCCTAAAGCGTGGTATAGCGGGTTTGGGTTTAAATGTCAACCCGGGTCCTAGATTTGATGACTACTCGGTGAATTCTTGTTATCTAGCAATGAAACTTTAATGCAAGTCTAAACTAACAAACAAACAAAGCAAGTAAACTGTTGTATTCAGGTTAAGAGAGGTCACCCGGATATGGTTCCCCCTAGACTGCAGTTAAGCCGGATTGTAATTACCAAGTTCAGTTTCTATGATAGTTATACTGCGGAAGGTTCTTAAATAGCCTGAAGTCTCGACTAAAGGTCTTCAGACCCTCCCAATCTGAGTCTCTAGTGGGCGACTAACCTCCACCGGAGTAAACAGATTGAGGCCCTAATGAACAAAACCTCCACTACCGAAGTGAATTCGGTACAGAATAGTGAATTGGCTCCTCGACTAAAGTCACCAACTCCCTACCTTCAATCAAAGATGCTCTATCAACCTAGGCAGATATTCTCATTCTAGGTTAAAGCAGAAACAACAGGAATTTGATCAGGATTCAAGTCATTCAATCATTCAAACCTCAATTGAATATAATCAAATCATAGAATCAGTACTTGGGTTCATACAATCAAACCTAACATACAAATCTAGGGTTCTCCATACCCAGATGAATGGGAGAACTACTCCTTGGAGAAAGAAGCAAAAGCAGAATCAGACGCGGAATTCATACTGTGAAGGATGGATTCCTGCTCCTGGACGTTGATCGGCACTTCTCCAAGCTCAAGCCAAGCTCCAATGGTGATGAAGATCAAGCTAGGGCACTTGGAGACTCTTGTTCGTCGCTTTCTC